TTTCAGAGACAAGCTGTACATTCACCTCCGTGGATCCTGAATCTTGCCGTGTGTGGGGTGAGTTCGCCCGGAGCTGCAACAGCGTGCCACCTCTCCCTTTCAAAAGTACTTGGGAACGGGTCAGGAGGGAATACCTGAGTACCGTTTCTACACTCCGCCCTCGCTGCCGCACGCTCAGCCGCACGACTAACCATACCCGAACGCGCCTTCACCTCGAGGACAGCGAGCAGGGATGGATGACGGTGTCTGGGTGTCACTACCTTACAGCACCATCTGCACTTGTATGGAGGAAAATAGCTCACTTCTGTAGCTGTGGGTCCATTGGCTTCCCACATGGCAACCAAATTCGGAGATGAATGTACAGTTTGTCTTAATCCAAAACTTAAGAAGCTTCTACTGTTTTCATACCATATCACCCATAAGCACTTGAAGACCTGCAAGCTCTGATTGGTAACTACCCAACTACATGTAACCGAAGTAATACTCAATCCAACTCCAGTGATTTCAACCCTCAAACCCACCTTCAAATGGCTCCAACTATTGCCGCTCGTTCACTGAAAGACAACCTTTGGTGTATTTACCGTTATGCTTCTGAACGAAACAGTAGTCGCCATTGCAGAAGTGCTTCGTATCAACCTGGAAAGGGAATTTGTTTTTATCGAGGGGGAGCCTCATCGGAAAGGGAATTAAGATCTTGTAAGACTCACAACACTTTCATTCTTTGCACCATGGGAGATGTAACACCGGACCGGTCCAGCTTGCACTACAGGCAGTTTGGTGTTACATTGACTCTGTAATGGTTGGTTGACTCACACTCCTTCTGATCATCAAGCACCATAATGATGAACCTTTGAGCAGAAACAATCAGTGACGCTTTCCATTGGTTGGTACTGAATACGATAGCAGCCATTCGCATACAACCCAGGAAAATCTATGGTGTTCCTAAGTCGCAGATCAAAATCGAATTCACTCTTATCACCACAATTATAGACGGTGAGTACGTCTGGAGGAAAGTCTTCCGAGTAAGTCTGCAAAAACCAGTTTTTATATGATGCAACAAATTCTTGAAAGGTCCTGTTTCCCTCCTACCTCGGTTCTTGTCATGTGGCAGTAGTTTGAAGAGCAGAGTTGTTCACGTTGAGCACCCACATGGCTAGTTCCGGTCTGAAAAATAATAGAAGGTTCGTAACGGACTTCATTTAAGTACGATTACATGGTTAGACAGTTGAAACTGAACAAAGCTGTAATCAGCGACGAAGGAACGGTCTCGCGTCGTGCGAGGCTGGCAGTCCGAGTCGCTTCTTTCTCCGGCCTAGAACTGTACTGGGAAGCGGAACGTGAGGGGCTGTGGGAGCCGGTTCTGGGTGATCTCTGTGTAGAGCGCTGTCCTCATGCTCAGCGGCTTACCGTCAAGGTGCAGCAGTCAATACCAAGGTCAAGGCAGCTTCAACACGCACTGTAGACACCAGAATTTAAAGAAGGCGCGACAAGTAGCGTGTTTCGCTATGGTTAGGCCTGTGCTGGCCGTTGCGTAGCGCGAGCCGCTAATAAAGAGACGGTATCGTTGTCCATCTACCACCTGCTCCCGCCTGTCCCCGTGCGGAGGAAGCGGCACGCTACTGCGATTGCGGACCTATTCTCTCTATACACGACAAGGAATAGAATCCACGGAGATGAGAGTACACTTTGACTGTTGAGTATTTGTTAATGGGTACATCCTTCCGATGTCCCTTCTCACTGTATTTCAATCCGATTCCTCGGGTTTAGACGGAGAAGCTTCTTCAAAATTCGTGACGCATCCATTTGAAACTTTTCAATACTAATCTCGATTTGCACGCCCCGTAAGCGTGAAATCTGCTCATCTAGAAATGGAACAATAGCGGGTACTGCAGTAGCGCTCTATGTCGACCCAGAGTTCATCAGCTCCTGGTGAGAGAGAGCTGCCCGTAGCAAGCAAGGAATAAACTGAAGGAACTACAGGCAATAGGCACAGGAAGAGACAGACATTAGACACAAAATAGCTCATATTGTACACCCTCAATCCTACGATGGGCAGGATGGCAAGGTACGTGAAGAACCAAAGTGATTTATTCTTTCTTCTATAGGCAGGGAGAGTCATCACCTCTGTGGTCAGTATCGGCCTCGAGACGGCTTACGGTATTGCTTCACCTTGAAATTCTACATGATCTCGCGGGTAGAGCCACTCGCTTGCATTTTACTGGTGTCTGTTGGTTTAACAATGAAGAGCACAACTATTCAGGTTTTTTTACAACGTCACCATGGCATATTACCAGAAAAAGATTAGATATCCAACATGACTTCTGAGAGAAACTAGCGGAAGTGCGAAATACCCCCAGCGCCTAGACCATAATTTGATTTTCTTGCTTGAACCTGACAATTAGTTCATCGACAACCTATATCTAACTTCCCTTGGGACCCCACCTCACTCTGATTGACAAATCCACAGAAACATAATGCTAGTAGTATATTGATGGTCACTAAGTCACACGGTATCTATTAACTCCCATCTTCTCGTGAGAATACTATTAACGGTGTGTGTCCATGGCGAAATGTCTCTTGTACTTTCATGATCAGCACACCCTGTACAATCTATTATTATACCGTACAGCACTCGTGTAAAGAAGCCGTTGAAAACAGTAAACTAAAGACGGACAAATTACCAAGACTGTGTAAAGGAATCCGATGTGACGTGACCAGGGCGGTAACCTCCATCTTTCAACGGAGAACATTCGTTAAATATAGAGGTTGTAAAAAACAAAATACGTACCACTTTACTGACACAATCAACGACTTGAAGTCGGATGACAGGCAGAGGTCTCATTGTGTTGTCTGTTCTCTCTACTCGATTGCACAAATCGCCATCACTAGAAATGGATGTAGTTGGGCGAGGCGTTCCATCATGGCATCATTTGCATTTTTATTTTACATATAGTCGTTTTGTGTGCTTCAACAGCCCAGGTTCTATCTTAAAATGTCCCTGATGTTGATCTAGAGGTACGGTAAGGTCTATATTGTTAGTCGTCAAATGAACACACTTCTGGAAAAGCGACGAGCTATCTGTAGTCGCTTCTGAGCCACAACTTGCTGACCTCAAAGGCAACAAACGATTAAGCAAAGACTTGGATAGCACACA